AACCAACATTTTTTTTTTTTAATAAATATTAATCAATTCTAGCGAAGGTCTTAAAAATAAATTAAATAAATAAAATATCAATAACAAATAAATCAGCTCAGCGGAAGCAAATAATAATTAAACAAGTCTAGCAAAATAATGCAAAACAATAAAACAGTAAACATCCTATCATCCCCCTCTTCAGCCTTGATTCCGCGATCACACAAATCTTTTACCTGCAACACATTGGAATGGAGTTGCGTAAGTATTTAATAAATACTTAGTGAGGCAATCACTCTGCCTACGAGCCATTTACGCAATTTACTAGATATTTAATAATATTTATAAACTTCAATAATTATTAAATACCATTTTCCAATTATTAAATAATTTTAATAATTAAAACTCAATTTCTCAATTATTAAATAATTCTCATAATTAAATAATAATTTTCCATATTTTAAAATAATTAAAATAATACCAATTAATTAAATAAATATTATTTAATTAATTAAATCCGAATTAAATCTATTTAATTCCATTAAACCAATTAAATTCAATTAAACCAATTAAATTCAATTGAACCAAGATAAACCAGAATCAAATCAATTAAATTCAATTAAACCAATAAACCAGATTAAACCACACAAACACACAATTCATCACATGAACAACCAAAATATCATAAAAATAACAATTAAAAACATAAACTCAATCTAATCTAGCAAATCACGGACCCACAGTCATGCACTCACCTTGACAATTGATTGAAACTGAAGGAAAAAGGAAGGACGATGAACAGTGCCGAATCGCGGATGAACAGTAACCCGTGAACAGTACCGATGAACAGTAACCCTGAACAGTACCGATGAACAGTAACCCCCGATGAACAGTAAAATTCGAAAATCTCTCCAAAAACTCAACTTTTCTCCTCTACAGCATCTGAACTCGAAAATTCTCCAAAGAGAAGACGGCTGCACTCTTTAAACTTGATTTTAGGGCTTTCTCCACTAAACCGACCCAAACCAATTCACTTAAATTGAACCGACAAAATTCCCAATTTTTATTTTTGGTTTATGGATGTTACAACTCTTCCCCACTAAACTGGATTCGTCCTCGAATCCCAACGCAAACGTCACAAAGACCACAAAACCCAACCTCGCAAGGCCGCAACACCGGAGATCCTCACTTGATCCCCGAGACAAACGTCATATCTTATGTCATAAACACGTTCCAAGAAAATTTCACTCCTAACTCATCATCCAAACACACCAAACAACTTGTACTGAGGCCCACTTGCACCCAGACAAGTCCACACCGGTCCGCACTGAGGCCCACTTGCACCCAGACGAACCCGAAAACGTCCATACTGAGGCCCACTTGCACCCAGATGAACTAAACTGCTTATACTGAGGCCTACTTGCACCCAGATAAGCTACACTCAACTGAGGCCTACTTGCACCCAGAGAGTCTGCCAGAGAACGAAGTCTCCAAAAACATGATGAGTTATTCAGGATCGCAATCCTTAGAGTAAAAATTCCGGAAAATGTCTATAACCATAAGATTAGACCGTCTCACAACCAAAAACTGGTCAAACATGTGTAACATCCGAATACCTTTTCACAACACAAGGCAAAATGAGGAAAAACTGCATCTCATTAAAACTCCAAAATGTATATCGTTACAACGAAAACGAAAATACAATAACACCAAAGCCAAAAATAACAACTGAGGCTACAAAGATGAAATAAGCTCACTCCTCGACCTGCTTGTCGAACCACTTCCTGAACTTCAACTTCATCTTTGCCTCTGGCTCCCAAGTCTCCTCTGTAGAACCACTGCAATCCCACAAAATCCTCAGTAAGGGAATCCTCTTGTTCCTCAGAACCTTTTCCCTCCTCTCTAAAATCCTCATAGGCACTGCCGGCACTGTCAAATCTGGCTGAAGATCCTCTGGAATCCTAGCCACTAACTCCTCTGTAGGGTGAAGACACTTCCTCAGCATCGACACATGAAAAACCTTGTGAAAGGCTTTCATAATCTCAGGCAACTCCAGCCTGTAAGCCAATGGCCCAACTCGCTCCACTACTGGAAACGGACCCATAAATCGCGGACTCAGCTTGTTCTCTGCTATGGATCTGTTAGGACCCCTCAACATAGCCATCTTGAGATAAACTCTATCTCCAACCTGAAACTCAAGCTCTCGTCTGCGTCTATCTGCATAACTCTTCTGCCTATCCTGAGCCTCCTTCATGTTCAGCCTCACAACACGAACCTTCTCTGTCGTCTCCTGAACATAAGTAGCTCCATACATGCTGCGCTCCCCCACTTGGGTCCAGCATAGGGGTGTCCTACATGGCCTCCCATACAAAGCCTCGAATGGAGCCATGCCAATACTCGCCTGAAAGCTGTTGTTGTATGCAAACTCAACTAAGCTTAGGTGATCTGCCCAATGGCCACCCCAATCCAACACACACATCCTCAGCAAATCCTCCAAAGTCTGAATAGTCCTCTCTGACTGACCATCTGTCTGCGGATGATAAGCTGTACTCAGATGCACCTTAGTGCCCATCTCTGCCTGAAACGCCCTCCAAAACTCTGAAGTGAATCTGGGATCACGGTCTGACACAATACTAGCTGGCACTCCATGCAGCCTCACAATCTCTCGCACAAACTTCCTAGCCAAGACAGCAGCTCCATCTGTCTTCTTGATGGCCAAGAAATGTGCAGACTTAGTCAACCGATCCACAATCACCCAGATAGCATCGAAAGTCCTCGAAACAGGTAGTCCAACCACGAAATCCATCGTAATCCTATCCCACTTCCACTCGGGAATGGGTAAACTCTGCAAAAGACCACCCGGAACCTGATGCTCTGCCTTCACCAAGGCACAAGTGTTGCACTTCGCAACCCAGTCTGCTACATCCCTCTTCATCCCGACCCAATGATAGTACCTCTTGAGGTCATGGTACATCTTGGTCGCTCCCGGATGAATGGAAAACTTGCTCGCGTGAGCCTCTCCCAAAATCTGATGTCTCAACTCCACATCCTTAGGCACACAAACTCGCCCACGAACCAAGATAGTCCCATTCGCAGAGACCTCATACTCAGAACCAGTCACTCTCGTCGCATCTAGCAAACTCTGATCACTCTGCTGAGCAACTCTGATCCTGCTAAGTAGATCCGCCTGATCCACTGCCTCTAAACCCAAAGGCTCCTGCGAAATGGCACACAAACGCAAGGTACTGATCTCGCCAACTAGAGACTCCACATCTCGCTCAACTGCGGAATCATACCTCCGTCTACTCAACGCGTCCGCCACTAGGTTAGCCTTGCCCGGATGGTAGTTAATGCTCACCTGATAGTCCGCCAAGAACTCAACCCAGCGCGTCTGTCTCGCGTTCATCATCGGCTGAGTGAAGATATGCTGCAAACTCTTGTGATCCGTGAAGACCTGTACTGTCTCACCTAGCAAGTAAGACCTCCAAATCTTCAACGCGAAGATCACTGCTCCCAACTCTAAGTCATGTGTAGGACGGTTACGCTCACTGCCCTGCCACTGTCTCGAAGCATATGCTATCACTCTGCCCTCCTGCATCAGCACACAACCAAGACCAATGCCTGAAGCATCTGTATACACCATGTAAGGCTTCCCTGGCTCGGGTAACGCCAACACTGGTGTAGTAGTCAACATCTCCTTGAGCTGACTAAAGCTCTCCTCACACTCAGCTGACCAAATAAAAGGGACATCCTTCCCGGTCAACTTCGTCATCGGCTGCGCCATGGTAGCAAACCCCTTGACGAACCTCCTGTAGTATCCTGCCAAACCCAGAAAACTCCTGATCTCGGTGGCACTACTAGGTCTAGGCCAATCTCTGATAGCCTCAATCTTAGCCGGATCCACAGAAACTCCCTCTGCAGAAACAATGTGGCCAAGAAATCCCATCTCTCGCTGCCAGAAACTGCACTTGCTCAACTTAGCAAAAAGCTTCTGCTCCCGAAGCTTCTCCAGAACCAACCTCAAGTGAGTCGCATGCTCCTCCTGACTCCTCGAGTATACCAGAATATCGTCAATGAAAATGATGACAAACACGTCCAAATACTCCCTGAACACGTCGTTCATCAATCTCATGAAGGCTGCCGGCGCGTTAGTCAAACCGAAAGGCATAACCACAAACTCAAAATGCCCATAACGCGTCCTGAAAGCAGTCTTCCTGACATCTGCCTCATCTATCGGGATCTGATGATACCCCGATGCCAAGTCAATCTTGGAGAACCAAGTAGCACCCCTCAACTGATCCAACAACTCATCAATCCTCGGGAGTGGGTACCTGTTCTTCACAGTGACTCGGTTAAGACCTCTGTAATCGATACAAAGTCTGAAACTGCCATCCTTCTTCTTCACAAACAACACCGGTGCTCCCCACGGTGAAACACTCGGTCGAATGAACCCCTTAGACAAAAGGTCCTCTATCTGCTTCTTCAGCTCTGCCAACTCAGCTGGCGCCATCCTGTAAGGCGTCTTCGATATCGGTGCTGTCCCCGGCTCTAACTCAATCGTGAAAGGATCAGACCGAGATGGTGGTAATCCCTTCAGTGACTGAAAGACATCCTCAAAATCCTGGACAACCTCAATATCTCCCATAACAACTCCAGCTCCTGACTCAGACATAGAAATCGTCGCCAGATACGCCTCACAGCCCCGCTCTAACAACTGCTCGGCCTGAATAGCAGATATCACAATACTCCCGGAAGTCGGTCTCACTCCCTGATAAACCAACCTCCCTGCATCTCGCTCGAAGACCACTCTACCTCTGTAGCAATCCAGATGAACTCTGTAGTGTGACAACCAGTCCATCCCGAGAATAACGTCATACAGCTCCACCGGACTGATGACTAAGTCTGCTGGCATTGACTGCCCCGCAATCTCGATCTCGACTCCTCTAGCACGGCCCAAAGTAGACAAGAATCCACCTCCCGCCACCTTGACCATGCCCGCGCTCTCGCCCGCGCTACTCCGGATGCCACTCTTCTCGGCACGCTCCGGTGTAATGAAGCAATTCGATGCTCCAGAGTCGAATAAAACGTGGGACTCAAAACCGCCCACTAACAAGGTCATTACGAAACACATGCGTTGAGAACCTCAACAATTTATCACAGATAAATAACAACACACAGCAACAACAACCATTATGCCCTCGATGGCCCGCCACCACAAATGTGCATCTCCACTCAGATAGTGGACTGCCAACTCAACCTGGTACTAAACCAGAAATCTGATAGACTGGAAATTCCGCTCCAATCTCTGACGCCACTCATCTGCCGCCTCTGGCTAACTCCGCCCTCAAAGTACGGCGTACCAATCCTCTGCATGTGCCCCACATATCCAATAGGACGGCACCATCAAACCCACAGCCTGCGGCTGAACAAATCCCGCAGCCCTCTGCTGCACCTCTGCCACTGGAGGTACTCCCGGAGCCCCTTGTGGAACCACTGGCGGAAAACGAGCCAATAACTGCGTCAGCAAACCCACCACTAAGTCATCAAGACCCTGAGCCGGAGCACCACCCCAACCCGGAGCAGCCCCGCTCCCAAACCAACACTCGCATCCACACTGGCCTCACTCGCCACGGATACCGACTGGGTCACCGACGCAGTCGCCACACTCGGCACCACACTCTCTCCCGAATCCGCCGAAGTCCACAATCTCGGCCCCGACCTCCACGGCCTCTAGCTCTGCCACCACGCGCCTCAGCACCGCGCCCTCTCGCGCCACGACCTCTAGCTCCGTCCATCTCACTCATGGAACCGAAAAGAGCACACTAGAACAAACCAAAACTCAAAACAAACATAAACTCACCGCGGAATCTCTTGTAGCTGAAGGGGATGATACTAAGCCTAGCAATTCTAACAGTCCTAAAACCGTCTAGGCTCTGATACCAAAATGAAACAACCAACATTTTTTTTTTTTTAATAAATATTAATCAATTCTAGCGAAGGTCTTAAAAATAAATTAAATAAATAAAATATCAATAACAAATAAATCAGCTCAGCGGAAGCAAATAATAATTAAACAAGTCTAGCAAAATAATGCAAAACAATAAAACAGTAAACATCCTATCATCCCCCTCTTCAGCCTTGATTCCGCGATCACACAAATCTTTTACCTGCAACACATTGGAATGGAGTTGCGTAAGTATTTAATAAATACTTAGTGAGGCAATCACTCTGCCTACGAGCCATTTACGCAATTTACTAGATATTTAATAATATTTATAAACTTCAATAATTATTAAATACCATTTTCCAATTATTAAATAATTTTAATAATTAAAACTCAATTTCTCAATTATTAAATAATTCTCATAATTAAATAATAATTTTCCATATTTTAAAATAATTAAAATAATACCAATTAATTAAATAAATATTATTTAATTAATTAAATCCGAATTAAATCTATTTAATTCCATTAAACCAATTAAATTCAATTAAACCAATTAAATTCAATTGAACCAAGATAAACCAGAATCAAATCAATTAAATTCAATTAAACCAATAAACCAGATTAAACCACACAAACACACAATTCATCACATGAACAACCAAAATATCATAAAAATAACAATTAAAACATAAACTCATCAAGAACAACCACAAACCAAATCTAATCTAGCAAATCACGGACCCACAGTCATGCACTCACCTTGACAATTGACTGAAACTGAAGGAAAAAGGAAGGACGATGAACAGTGCCGAATCGCGGATGAACAGTACCCGTGAACAGTACCGATGAACAGTAACCCTGAACAGTCCGATGAACAGTAACCCGTGAACAGTACCGATGAACAGTGCCGATGAACAGTAAAATTCGAAAATCTCTCCAAAAACTCAACTTTTCTCCTCTACAGCATCTGAACTCGAAAATTCTCCAAAGAGAAGACGGCTGCACTCTTTAAACTTGATTTTAGGGCTTTCTCCACTAAACCGACCCAAACCAATTCACTTAAATTGAACCGACAAAATTCCCAATTTTTATTTTTGGTTTATGGATGTTACATGATATGTGGGTCATCGGCCCACACGATATTAACTCTATTTTTTAAGGGAGAAAATCCATTAAGGTAGCTTGCTATCTGGATTCTCGAGAGTCGCCTATGTATTGCACTACTACATGGGCCTGGCTTAACCCGCCAAATAAATATTTCAACATTTTCTCTTAACCAGTAATTTTTGAGAAAGTTCATAAATTAAAGGTTGGTTTATAAAAGTTAGCCATACAAAAAATACAATGAATAATATATAAAAGAAAAATAAATGTATATCCTGGGTTGGTTAGCCATGTTCATCAATGTTTTTGCTGTGAAATACTTGTTCACACGGATTTCGACTCTAATCCTCTCCTTGATTTTTTTTTTGATTATTCTTGTTGGAGATTTGAGTTTCATGTCTGAAGCAAGACTTCAAAACAACAAGAAACAAAACACAGACTGTTTTATTCACTTCACGGTTGAAAATAATAATTTTGAAAGGTATAGTCTATCACCAATTGTAAACTTGGGTTTAGATGGCTCATTGAAATTCAATATGAATTCTCAAGATTATTTAGAATATTTAATAAGTCCCACATCGGTAAACTTGAGAAGCGTTGGTGGAGAACTTGGTAGTATAAAAAGAGTATCTATGCCAACTTACAAATCATACCTTTCTCGGCCTTTTGGCTAAGATCAAGTGTAGTATCTGTTCTTATCAGTTTAATATCTGATATGTGGGTCATCGGCCCACACGATATTAACTCTATTTTTTAAGGGAGAAAATCCATTAAGGTAGCTTGCTATCTGGATTCTCGAGAGTCGCCTATGTATTGCACTACTACATGGGCTGGCTTAACCCGCCAAATAAATATTTCAACATTTTCTCTTAACCAGTAATTTTTGAGAAAGTTCATAAATTAAAGGTTGGTTTATAAAAGTTAGCCATACAAAAAATACAATGAATAATATATAAAAGAAAAATAAATGTATATCCTGGGTTGGTTAGCCATGTTCATCAATGTTTTTGCTGTGAAATACTTGTTCACACGGATTTCGACTCTAATCCTCTCCTTGATTTATTTTTTTGATTATTCTTGTTGGAGATTTGAGTTTCATGTCTGAAGCAAGACTTCAAAACAACAAGAAACAAAACACAGACTGTTTTATTCACTTCACGGTTGAAAATAATAATTTTGAAAGGTATAGTCTATCACCAATTGTAAACTTGGGTTTAGATGGCTCATTGAAATTCAATATGAATTCTCAAGATTATTTAGAATATTTAATAAGTCCCACATCGGTAAACTTGAGAAGCGTTGGTGGAGAACTTGGTAGTATAAAAAGAGTATCTATGCCAACTTACAAATCATACCTTTCTCGGCCTTTTGGCTAAGATCAAGTGTAGTATCTGTTCTTATCAGTTTAATATCTGATATGTGGGTCATCGGCCCACACGATATTAACTCTATTTTTTAAGGGAGAAAATCCATTAAGGTAGCTTGCTATCTGGATTCTCGAGAGTCGCCTATGTATTGCACTACTACATGGGCTGGCTTAACCCGCCAAATAAATATTTCAACATTTTCTCTTAACCAGTAATTTTTGAGAAAGTTCATAAATTAAAGGTTGGTTTATAAAAGTTAGCCATACAAAAAATACAATGAATAATATATAAAAGAAAAATAAATGTATATCCTGGGTTGGTTAGCCATGTTCATCAATGTTTTTGCTGTGAAATACTTGTTCACACGGATTTCGACTCTAATCCTCTCCTTGATTTATTTTTTTGATTATTCTTGTTGGAGATTTGAGTTTCATGTCTGAAGCAAGACTTCAAAACAACAAGAAACAAAACACAGACTGTTTTATTCACTTCACGGTTGAAAATAATAATTTTGAAAGGTATAGTCTATCACCAATTGTAAACTTGGGTTTAGATGGCTCATTGAAATTCAATATGAATTCTCAAGATTATTTAGAATATTTAATAAGTCCCACATCGGTAAACTTGAGAAGCGTTGGTGGAGAACTTGGTAGTATAAAAAGAGTATCTATGCCAACTTACAAATCATACCTTTCTCGGCCTTTTGGCTAAGATCAAGTGTAGTATCTGTTCTTATCAGTTTAATATCTGATATGTGGGTCATCGGCCCACACGATATTAACTCTATTTTTTAAGGGAGAAAATCCATTAAGGTAGCTTGCTATCTGGATTCTCGAGAGTCGCCTATGTATTGCACTACTACATGGGCCTGGCTTAACCCGCCAAATAAATATTTCAACATTTTCTCTTAACCAGTAATTTTTGAGAAAGTTCATAAATTAAAGGTTGGTTTATAAAAGTTAGCCATACAAAAAATACAATGAATAATATATAAAAGAAAAATAAATGTATATCCTGGGTTGGTTAGCCATGTTCATCAATGTTTTTGCTGTGAAATACTTGTTCACACGGATTTCGACTCTAATCCTCTCCTTGATTTATTTTTTTGATTATTCTTGTTGGAGATTTGAGTTTCATGTCTGAAGCAAGACTTCAAAACAACAAGAAACAAAACACAGACTGTTTTATTCACTTCACGGTTGAAAATAATAATTTTGAAAGGTATAGTCTATCACCAATTGTAAACTTGGGTTTAGATGGCTCATTGAAATTCAATATGAATTCTCAAGATTATTTAGAATATTTAATAAGTCCCACATCGGTAAACTTGAGAAGCGTTGGTGGAGAACTTGGTAGTATAAAAAGAGTATCTATGCCAACTTACAAATCATACCTTTCTCGGCCTTTTGGCTAAGATCAAGTGTAGTATCTGTTCTTATCAGTTTAATATCTGATATGTGGGTCATCGGCCCACACGATATTAACTCTATTTTTTAAGGGAGAAAATCCATTAAGGTAGCTTGCTATCTGGATTCTCGAGAGTCGCCTATGTATTGCACTACTACATGGGCCTGGCTTAACCCGCCAAATAAATATTTCAACATTTTCTCTTAACCAGTAATTTTTGAGAAAGTTCATAAATTAAAGGTTGGTTTATAAAAGTTAGCCATACAAAAAATACAATGAATAATATATAAAAGAAAAATAAATGTATATCCTGGGTTGGTTAGCCATGTTCATCAATGTTTTTGCTGTGAAATACTTGTTCACACGGATTTCGACTCTAATCCTCTCCTTGATTTAATTTTTTTGATTATTCTTGTTGGAGATTTGAGTTTCATGTCTGAAGCAAGACTTCAAAACAACAAGAAACAAAACACAGACTGTTTTATTCACTTCACGGTTGAAAATAATAATTTTGAAAGGTATAGTCTATCACCAATTGTAAACTTGGGTTTAGATGGCTCATTGAAATTCAATATGAATTCTCAAGATTATTTAGAATATTTAATAAGTCCCACATCGGTAAACTTGAGAAGCGTTGGTGGAGAACTTGGTAGTATAAAAAGAGTATCTATGCCAACTTACAAATCATACCTTTCTCGGCCTTTTGGCTAAGATCAAGTGTAGTATCTGTTCTTATCAGTTTAATATCTGATATGTGGGTCATCGGCCCACACGATATTAACTCTATTTTTTAAGGGAGAAAATCCATTAAGGTAGCTTGCTATCTGGATTCTCGAGAGTCGCCTATGTATTGCACTACTACATGGGCCTGGCTTAACCCGCCAAATAAATATTTCAACATTTTCTCTTAACCAGTAATTTTTGAGAAAGTTCATAAATTAAAGGTTGGTTTATAAAAGTTAGCCATACAAAAAATACAATGAATAATATATAAAAGAAAA